TGTAAGTTTCTAAAATAGAAAAAGTTATGGAAATATTTTCTTTTTGCTAAAAAGAAAAGTTGCGGGGTGTGTCTGATCGTCCGATTTGAATCGGGTGAACGTTTGTCATTTAGTGGAGTCGCTCTAAAGCACTTGGGCTTCTTGGTACGGTCGACGCTAAAATTGTTTGTGCACATATTAGTTGCACGATCTGTTCCGTATACGGAGAGTTTGGCTGGTCGTACGTCGTTAGTCTCGCCGTCTCGGTACGGTAGATGCCCCACATGTCGCATTGTCGCTACTTGTTCAGAGCATGAAAGCATTCTCTTTTTCATCTTTCGAATCCAGTTACCAGTTTCAATCCGTCAATTCTCTCTCTCTTCCCTCGTACCAAAATGTCAATTCTCGATAGAAGGAAGGGGGTGTCGATTTACCTGACAGTGACTCTACCCAAATACCTAACGGTCCGTGACGCTCGTAGGAATATACAACCTGTTCGTTTGCTCGTATACGATCATGGATTATATGTTGAAATAATTTTTTTTTCTCTCACACTAAATCAACCAGCAGTAAATAATCTACGATCGTTTACAATTAAACCAACAGGCTGATAGGACGTGTGCCAGCGCGCGAACGCGACCCACAGTGGAGAAGGAGAGAAAGGACCGCACACCGCGAACAAGCCCGTGTCGTGGCTACGTGCAGGGGTACAGCAGCGTATGCGCGTAAACAAAAGAACGGCCGGGCTATGCACTGGGCGCCGCGGGAAGGACCTGACGTCCCCGTCGTCCTCGACGGTCGACGCTGATGCACGATCGAGTCAGGGCGCGCCGTGCCCGTGCGTAAGCCGTGATAGCAGCGTTCGGGTTTGGCTCTCCCGGTGGGCGGCAGGGTGGCCGAACGGACCCAGCAAGTTGGGGTCGTGAAGATTCTAATAGATGGAACGGGCGGCGGCGACCGGTGATGGAGTAACGCTGGCATGGCTGACCGAGCCCTTCCGTACATCGTCCGATTGAAAATTCCGCGGACCACGGAGAAAAGCCGGGAGTGACACTGGCGGGCTTGTGTGCCTGATAAGCCATATGTAAAAGTATTGTTGACTAATTTGATGTGAAAGAAAAATACTATTTGTTGGATCGAAAAATACGCTTATAAAAAAAACAGCTCAAGCCAACAGGGCCTTGGAAAAAAACGGAGCAGGTCCGCTCGTGCTCGATCACGTACGAACGGTGTCCACAAGACCACAAAGCGCGGGGCGAATATGGTGCTGAGAAGTCGTTTTGTTGAGAATGACGTGCGCACGCACGGAGACGGAGTGTGTCTGTCCACCTTTATTTTTAGTGATTGGCAACCAGGAAATTGATCTTGAAAAAAGCCAAGAATTCGATCTTGAATCTGGATCGTTTCTTTCTGCTAGCTCGTGTGTCTGCTTGCGCGTGGGGCCAGGTCGAGAAGACACCTACCTACGCGGGGGGCGGCCGTCCTGGCGGGAGGTTGGGGAGCAAAGGTACGGTCCTCACAGGAAACGGATTGGTGGAGCAGATCTTTGCTAGATTTGACCAAAAGCTTCTTCACATGGGCTACGTACGCGGACCATCCATCGCAGGTGCTGTGTAAACCGAATGAACCGAGGTGCGAGCCTTTGAACGTACTACAAGCTGCAGATTGTGATTATTTCGAAATTAAAGGAAAAACAACCGCAATCAGTGTAAATGAGGCACATGCATCAGCTATGCCTAGTATGCATGTCTGAGGGCACCAAAAAAGAAAGACACGCGCACCAGTGAGACGCACGGACACGGCGCGACCCATTGCGTTGGCTTTGCTCACGGAGAGGCCGGCCGGCCGGGCGGCCAGCAGGCGAGCACTTGCCCAGCGCTTCCGATGATGCCCAATCACACGAGCCCATATTGCGGCCATCATCTGGCTGCGCTCCTTTGGCCCGGCAAAAGGCCAGCGCGCGACAGTGAAAGAGCTAGGGGCTTCGCGGATGTCATCCTGATAGACGTTTTGTCTAGGAAAGGAATTGAAAAGGAGCTAAAGAGAGCATAACACACACGAGTTGACATCACAAGGAGCGCAAAAAGCAACGCAGCTTTTGCAACTTTCTGAAAGCTCCCCATTGAGCCAAGGACAACGAAGAGGCCGGGGGACCGAGATCATCCTGGGAAACGTAAACTTGAATTTACTTTATTTTTCATATAGCTGCAGTTTAATTGATGAATGGGTGATTGATCAATGATCAATGCGCACAAAAGAGTTCATAATGAATCAGTTGCCTTAAGTCGTGCTGGCTACGTACTTTACCATCAGACACAATGCCATGCATCTAGCTAGCCATCGGAGAGGATTCCGACCTGGTTGAGCAATATGATCAGTCATTCACACAAGATATACTAGGTACTAGCATTCGTGACGAGATTACACATTTATGATATGTTGTGTCAGCAGGAGCCTCCATATGGTGACGTTGTTACCGCTGATGCGTGATTGTCCGACCGGCCCGTAGTGTCCTTTAGTAGCTTTTGATCGAAGCATTCCTTTTTTTTGTTATTTCTTCCTGATTATTGCCTCCTAGGGCAACATAATCTTGTTTTTTTTTGTGCTTTACCACTTGCACTGTCGGGTGCGCGTTTGTTTAAAAAAAAAACGGAAATGTTGCATGAGATAGGTCAGAATGATTGTTAGGATAGTGTTGAATGAATGTAAAATGACGGAGAAGGCTGCATGCCTCAGCCTCAGCCATACGCAATAGACTAGCTAACAATCTTCTGAGCCCTCGAAGAATGGTGAAGTTAACTGCATGAAGTTAACTAGCTAGGTAAGGGGACCCAAGAGGTTAAACTGTCAAAGGAGGCCGAAGCGAAGAAAAATGCACTAGACATACGTACGAGCATACGACCATATGTCCACATCTACCTACCTATACCTGATCGTCCGGTCTATACGGCGTGCGGACCGCACGGCGGCGGGTTGCCCTGGGGGCTGGACAGCGTGCGTACCCATGGCGTCACGGCAGTGTGAGCATGACGAGCGAAACTGGAACCTAACCCAACGGCGAGGGGGGAGTAAAAACCGGTGGGCGGTGGCGACGGGCCTGGCGGTGCGCCGGCAATGTGGACTTGGAGCGCGTTTCGTCCGTTTCCTGGCCGAGTGGCCGTCCCCGGACAGCCGCGAGAATTACGGCGGAAAGCAGCGCGCCACGCATCGCCCCGCCCCGTGGTCACCGCGCCGCGGTTCTTCCCTGCCAGTTCCGTCCCGAGTGGCGAGTTGGATGGACCGGACGTGACCACGGTGACTCCACTCTCCACCGCAGGCCGGGGACACAGATTGGAGGAGGGAAACAAACAGGAAAGTGAAAAGGCCGAAGCTATCTACCAGGCGGTTGGGGTCGGATCAATCGGAGACCGGGGGAGGGACCGGAGGAGGTTGGCCGGCGCACGGCGCACTGCCGGCTGCCCCGCCCACTGACGGACCGTAGTCCGTACCACGCGCACATTGACCTTTCCAGCAATCACCCAAAACCATGCCGGCAAGAGATATCTTCCCTGTCTGTCCCCGATCGACGGTGAAACAGCCGAATCGATCTCTATTGCGTATTTTAGGGCAACTACGTGCGTGGTGGCTCACACGATGTTGCCAAAAACGCCTGCCTTTGTTTCTGCCTTGTCGTCCCTCGGGCAGCCGTGATTGCCGCAATGTATACTGCTTTTGAGATACACTTCACTTGAGCTAGGCAGCTAGCACTAGAGAACGCACCCGCACGTGCCTAGACCACCAAAATTGAGTACTACCTTTGGCGGCTGTAAAGCACGATTCGGAGAGCACACGCTGCTAAAAAATACATGTCCCGTTTCGGTGTGTAGTGTGATTTGTCTAGATCATCATCTTCTTGATAATGGAATAATCGATTCCGTCCTAATAGAATGATAGAATCCCACCTGAAAGACAGTAAGCATTTTTATGCCAACTTTAATTCTTGGCCCTGATTCGAATGTGCGAATTTTAGCAATCTGTATCCGTGAAATTCTTGCTCAGATACCCGTTTGCAAATTCTAGACTCTTTTTCGGATCATCGGATGCAAGAAGATTTATATGTGTCTTTGCAGAAATCGATTGTTCGTTTTACGTCTCCTGCAATGCTACCTTCTTTTCTGTTTTTTCCTTTCTTATTAAAAATTATTCTTCCGATCCAAAACGATATATTCCTCCGGCCTATCTCAGTTGGCGCTTTTTCTTCGGCTCGCAGAAAGCCGTGATCTCCCTGATCCAAAAACGATTCTCGTTGGGCCCTGCCTAGCCTTGGGCCCCTCCTCGAGGTCCAAAAGCGCAGGACGGTCCTATCCTGCCTCTGCAGTGGCCTAGGAAGCCTTGGTACCTGCTCCTCTGTCCTGTGGGCCCTCTAGCCCACCCAACGACGAAGGGCCCGGGGTGCAGGAAGGATTTTCGTGAGGTATGGGCCTTGTCTGACTGGAGATCGTGACAAGTTAGCTTGCATGGGCTTTGGTAATCAGCAGAAAGTTTGTACGTGTTGGGCCAAGCCCATGACGGGTTTGGAGAGTCAAAGCCCACACCACGACGAAAGCCACGTTCCTTCCTGCGGACTGTGAATATTCCGAGTTTCTGAAACACGTCACTCGTGCTCCGGGACACGCGGAAGCGAAGCAGGCCAACGGTGTGTTCGGCTGGCCACTTGGGCTGACTGGACTTCCTTTTTTTTTCCGGCTGAAGCAGTATTTTTCTTTCACGGTTCTCCAGCTGCTACAGTACTTTTCAGATGCTACAGTGTCATTTTAATGCAAGCCCGGTCCGGCGAGTTGACTTTCACCCACTGCTGTGCTGTAGTACTGCACTACTGTTCTGTTCCCAATGTTTCCATCGACGAACATTTCCACGAAAATCTCGCTGCTCTCGCGAAAAAGGACGCCACCACCGCCCTTGCTTGCTGCTCCCCCCACCCCGGAGCCAGCCAGGTGCAGGGGCGCCTCCGCCTCGCCCGCGGACCAGTCAGTCAGTCAACCATGGCGGAGGCGGCGAGGCGGACGCTGCCGCTGGTGAACCTGGCGGCCGTCATGGAGCGCGCCGACGAGGCGCTGCTGCCCGCGGTGTACCGGGAGGTGGGCGCCGCGCTGGGCGCCACGCCCGTGGCGCTCGGCGCGCTCACGCTCTACCGCTCGGCCGTGCAGGCCGCCTGCTACCCGCTCGCCGCCTACGCCGCCGTGCGCTACAACCGCGCCCACGTTGTCGCCGTTGGGGCCGTTCTCTGGGCCGCCGCCACCTTCCTCGTCGCCGTCTCCGACACCTTCGCCCAGGTCCGTTCCCTATAAAATCCCTACTTTATCCGGCGGCGTACGTGTGTTCTCTCTTGGCGTGGGATCTCTTGCCACGAATTTGGTAGGCCATCAGTCCAACTGTGCTCAGCTTTGGATCTGATTAGAGAACTAGGGTGCGGATCCTCAGCGGTATATGCCTCGGTTCCCTACTTTGGTTCGTCCGCTGATAATTCGGTGCTCTGTCCTTTCGCTATCGAGGCTTTATTACTGGCCAAAAAGCTGATGATGGTTTAGTTTCCTGTGCGGCTTTGCGCACTCCCTTCGCCCTAATCAGCAGTCAAATCTGAGATGCTATAGGAAACCAACTTTAGATCAAGGTAACCGAAGAAAATGTTAGCACGAAATTTTTGCTGTTTATATCTCCTGGGGATTCTGAATTATTATTTAATTCTGTTAAAAATTTGCAAGTAATGCATTAAATGCGTCTTAATCGAAACATACAACTGTCTCCAGCAACCGCGACCCAAAATACAAGACCCATTCATCCTTTGGGTAGCGCTACAGGCAAAGGGTTCGATACCTATTTTTGGTCTTCTCTAACAACAAGATCCAAAAGACAACTCTTTCTGCAAATGGGTCTCCAGGAGAGAGGATACTCAGGTTTGGGTTATGCCTCTCCTGGCACCCAAAATTGGTCTTCCATATAGGTACTCTGTTGGAGGCTATAAATACTGTGTTGGAGACCCATTTTGGGTTTGGGTTCCGTAATGGGTCTCCTGTTGGAGACAACCTAAGGAAAGTACAACTGCCATATCCATGGCTGTTAATGGTTGATTTATGTCCATTCCAAGTTTATATACATAAAATTATCTGATATCCATGAAATTAGTGTTTTATTTCTTTCCATTACAAATTTTGAACTGGGAACTTTCTCTGCCATTTTTCTCCTGGATATAAAATTGTTTGAACTTTGACCCTGTTGTACTCTAGTCTGGTTGAATCTCCATGAAATATCATTGTTCACAATCAAAATTGATTTTGAAGTTTGAAAACCTCGAATTTAGTTTGCTTGATATTTTGCCACATCAATTTGTGTGCTCTGAAATTTATCTTAAGATAAAGTTTCTATTAGTCCTCAACAGAATAATAACCTTTTTTGTATACAAGTAAAAGATGAGAACATTTGTGCATGAAAAATGCTTTTTTTTGAGCAGGTAGCGATAGCTAGAGGTTTGAATGGTATTGGCCTAGCACTTGTCACCCCAGCAATCCAATCTCTAGTGGCAGATTGCTCTGATGACAATACTCGAGGCGCCGCATTTGGATGGCTTCAACTCACAGGCAACATTGGTTCAATTATTGGTGGTTTGTTTTCCCCTGATGCTAGCATCAACCACAGTCATGGGTATTGCCGGTTGGCGTGTTGCATTTCACATTGTTGCTCTTATAAGTGTTGTAGTCGGTGTGTTGGTTGGCGTATTCGCAGTGGACCCCCATTTCCTCCATGTTGAAAGTGGCGAGCAGCTGTTGCGCAAGTCTGCATGGGCAGAGATGAAGGATTTGGTGAGAGAAGCCAAGGCTGTTGTAAAAATCCCATCATTTCAGATCATTGTGTCTCAGGGTGTCACAGGCTCGTTTCCATGGTCTGCCCTGGCCTTTGCCCCAATGTGGTTGGAGCTGATGGGGTTTACACATAACAAAACTGGACTCCTCATAACAACATTTGCACTGGCAAGCTCACTTGGAGGGCTATTAGGTGGAAAGATGGGGGATCACTTTGCTATTCGCTTCCCAGATTCTGGTCGAATAGTCCTGTCACAGATAAGCTCGGCTTCTGCTATTCCACTGGCTGCTCTATTGCTTTTGGGGCTCCCTGATAACTCCTCTTCTGGTTTCTTGCATGGACTTGTCATGTTTATTATGGGGCTGAGCATCTCCTGGAACGGTCCTGCAACTAACAAGCAAGTACATTTTCACCTTTTATTTGATTCATTCGTTGCTGAACATATTATCAACACCAAAGCATGCACAGGGAATCCATTTCTGCATTAGTACTTTACTGAACTTTTTTTAATGGGCATACAATATATTTTATGACATGCAAGAGTAGCTCTATGAAATTCTTGAGTGCTGGCAGTAATGATTCTATTTAATTTGCAGCCCGATATTTGCTGAGATTGTACCTGAGAGGTCAAGAACAAGTATCTATGCATTGGACCGTTCTTTTGAGTCAGTTTTAGCTTCATTTGCTCCACCGGTTGTTGGGTTTCTAGCTGAGCATGTTTATGGCTACAATCCCATCTTCTATGGAGCTGCAGATGACAATGTTGGCAGGGATAAATCAAATGCTGATGCCCTAGCCAAAGCTCTGTACACGTCGATCGCCATCCCTATGCTGCTTTGCTGCTTCATCTACTCCCTGTTATACCGCACATACCCACGCGACAGGGAGAGGGCAAGGATGGACACTCTGATCGCTTCAGAGCTCCAGCAGATTGAACTGGAAAGATGTCATGGGCTAGGGGGTTATTATTCTGGAAGGAAGGAGGACGCCACTGTAATCGATATGGAGTACAGCGAGGAAGATTTCGATGCCGATGATGATGAAAAGGGGCTGATGGAACAGCAGGCTAAGCAGAGTGGCAGTGTCAAGTGGCACAGGAATGATTCACAAAATTTGTGACGTTTTTGCCAAAATAATAGCCTCCCGGATGTGTACAGAAAATACATGATATATGGGCGAGTGAGAGTGAGTTACCTTTTGAAGGACGATTACAGAAGGTTGTTTAGGTATGTGCTTACATAGACTTTTAGTTCAGAAGCATCAGAACCATTCAGTTCTTTTCTGTATTACATAATAGTATATAAACCCTTTTGGAGCAATATGGAGGTGAATATATCTGTAGTCAAAAGTTCGAATGGATGCAGCTGGTGACTGGTGAGTTGGTAGGAGGAATAAAGTATGATGCGCAATTCCTTGTACAGTAAAGTTATGGTACTTCATGTTTCATGTAAGCCCGTCTAGCTCAGTCGGTAGAGCGCAAGGCTCTTAACCTTGTGGTCGTGGGTTCGAGCCCCACGGTGGGCGTATTCCTTTTTGGTGCAGGGCCAGAAAGTTGTTCTTCACTGATCAGAGACCATTAGTACTCGTGCACCTTTCTGGTCTGCTATAGAGAACATGCATCTCTTTTATGTGTTCTTCACTGATCAGAGATCACTAAGGACACCATCAATGGAGGCTAACACTTTTAGTGGTTTTAGTATAAATAAAGTGATATATATAGGCTAGAAAATATTGAGACTACTATTCACACAATGTAAACTATTATTAGTTGTGGTTTGCACAGAAACTTTTTTCTTTTATCATATCTTACCTTTATTTCCTCTCTCTTTTAATTTTTAGTATGAACCACCTTCTCTCTTCAGCATATGTAGCTTCTATAGCTCACTATGACAACGGCTTCTGTAGTCCACTATGACAACTACAGATCATCTTCTTTTTTTATCCGATCCTACAAGATACTCGAGGCTTCAACTAAAACCATGACGTTGGGTAAGGCCTAATACCCATGCACCCAGCGCCTCTTTTACGTGCTCTTCACTGATCAGAGATCATTAATACCCATGCACCCGGCGCCTTTCTGGTCTCCTGTAGAGACAATGCGTGGCTAGTATATGCTGGAGCCTTATAATTCCATATGAGGCATTGGAGATGAACCAACTATATGCTCCGTCCGGTGATGACCGTTGGACCATCCGATGGCTCTCTTCCCGCGACTAGTCGTTGAACTAGCCCTTGTCGACCTTTGGACGCCTTCAGTAGCGTACCGACCGATGCTTGTCATCGAACCGGTCCAGTGCCCAAAACTCCTTTCTGGAGCCTCTCTGTAAGCCGTTGGACTTATCACCATTGGTCTGACACTGCACTGTTGGCTCGGTCCGATGCGGCTGCTCATGTGAACGTTGGTGGCATATAGTCCAACGCCCCCCCTTTCCCGCTCGGTTTGACGCTCCTGCTGAACGCCTTGGCTAGGCGGGTTTGGATCGCCTATGGTCCGACGCCCTTAGGATCCGGTCCACGGTCCGACGCTCCATCTTAACTTGTTTCTTCATGATCTTTGCGTCTAGCTTGGTTCTATCTTGTGTCTTGGACTTTTGGATATACTTGGAGATCTTCATTGCTTTTTCTAAAGTCTTGCTCAAGGTGTTAATCATCCGAATCATACTATTGCCTAAGTCCACTTTTGCACCCTTTGAACTATATCCAAAGACACTAGCAAATAATGTTAGTCCAAATGGTCATGTTGATCATCAAACACCAAAATTAAAATTAAAATGGGCCATGGATCTATTTTCCTTACAATTATGTATGAGTAAATCTTGTTGACTACACTCGTGTTCTCAAAGTGCTACTCGTTGAGTTCTGCAGGTGAGGATGCCTAGGGTTTTTCTACACACCCGTCCCCTTGGCGGGCTATTAGTACTAGAGGCCCCTTTTATGTGAGGCATATATCAAGTTTATGGCATGGACTATAATTTGTTGTATCAAAACTATGTCGACTATGTCGGTGTGGTGAATTAAGCTTGAAACAATGTGTCGTAAAACTTAAGTACTACCTTTCGTTGAACACTAGAACATGACTCATTATACAAGGCGTTTACAAGTGCCTCAAAAAATGATCAAAACGCCCTCAAAGACCTTTTGAGACATTTATCAAAACGCCGTCTAAAACATAAAAATAAAAGGTCTTTTGAAGCATTTTTCCAGAATGCCTTTTAATATCAACATTTAAAGGCATTTTCTGAGTGCCTAAAAAACTATTTAGAGGCGTTCTGTACAACGCCTTCAAATATTAATGGAGGCATTATTAGAAATGCCTCCAAAATTAAGCTATCCATATGGAACTGCTAGCAATATAAAATTGACACAATCCATTCGAGAATGAACAAATAAGAGCACACGTTAACACTATATACTCCAACCATTTTAATCTCGCAGACATACATAGTTACATTTGTAATCAGATTGCTCCCTTTAAGAGAGAGAAAAAACCTGACATGTTCACATCACAGCTATATACATATAAATCCAATTGACTATATGTTGCCTCACTGTCAGCCTTCCTACTGTCCTCACTTGGCAATTGCTCCTTCTTAAAACCAAACATGTCCCAATAAGTGAAGGTATATATAGTAATAGCTGAGCAAATTTTAATGGTATCTATGATAATAGCTGAGCAAGATCATCAGCCTATATTCTCAAGTTACATGATGTCATTTTCATCAAAGGCTAAAAAGCAAAGATTTTCATCATTTGCACCGCTGTCAGCTGACAGTGCAACAACAATACATGGTGCATCAGCAAAAAAACAATTTTTACATGCACCAAGCACCGAGGTACCATATAACAATGTGAATTCGGAGATAGATGCATGCATAATAATAATAGCACTTAGTTGCAGCCCAAATTAGCATATCTAATTTTTCTCAAAGACTTAGTAGCCGGGGCTTAGAAACCAAAGATCTTATATGATATAGTGTAGGATAATAGGATATGCAATAAGCAGGCCACAATTGGAAGGTAAATGATATGGCACAACTAGCTTTCAGTATTCACATATAGAAGCAAACTTTTGTTCTCACGGGATGTGCTTGTGTTCTCCACAGAAGTAAAACTAGGATTGTGGGGGTATTAACCCCTATACCCTTACGGCTAGGCTTGGGCCGGCCCGAACCAGGGGGTTTGGCCCACTAGAAGACTACGCGTGGCCCGGTCAATCTGTTCGGAGTCCCGCGCAAGGAATCAAGGCAGATTTGGAGATCTAGCAAGATCCTGGTCGGTTAGAATAGGAATCCTTGTCCGGTCACCTATGGCAATTGTAACGGGTTAGGATTAGTTTCCAGATCTGTAACCCTGCCCCCCAGACTATATAAGGCGGGCAGGAGACCCCTCTCAAAAACATCTCTCATTGACATATAGCAATACAATCAGACGCAGGACGTAGGTATTACACCATCCCGACGGCCGAACCTGGATAAAACCTCGTGTCTGTCTTGCGTCACCATCTTGTTTGTAGCTTGCGCATCTGTCTGCCGATAATCTACTACCTTGGGCATACCCCTAGGTAGACTGCCGACCATATTTCATCGACAGTGGCGCGCTAGGTAGGGGGTGTGCGTACTGCTCTCCAGACGAACAAGATGGTCATCATCCCCGGTTCCATGGCTACGCCAAACGGCCTCACGTTCACCATCGGCCAGATCACCTGGACCACTGGCTCCGACGACTTCATCGCCATGACCACGGAGGAGGCGCGGATTCAATATGCGTCGACCACTGCTTCATCTGCATCGGCTACGGCTCCGACCACGGTGGATCTGGCTCTGGCCACGCCAACATCGTCTTCAGCCACGCCGATAACCTGTCGCCCGCTTCCTCGCTACAAAGGGAGGCAGATCGACAACTCCGACCTGCTCGACTCCATCGATCAGGTCGGCACCAAACTTGCCAAAACACTAGCCCTGGTAAGTTCGATTCAAAGTCAACCTAATGAGCAGGTAACCATTACCCACAATAGATCTACCTGACCAGCTCGGGCCAGTCGTCCTACATGACTCGGTACGGATCTCGTGGTCACATCTACTCCTGAAGGGCGCTCCATTCGTCGCCGTCTAGCCCCCACGACGGGTCTCCAGATCTCCGAGTACGAAGCCTCGATGGAGAACTACCAGGCTCAGCCCTACGGCCTGCGAAACTCTGCTTCCAACTATGCGTGCAATATGCAACGATCTTGGCCAAAACCACGCAACTTCGTCAACATGGTCCGGATTGAGGAGTACCAAGAAGGATCGGTCCACACAGTTCAAGAGGGTGGCTCAAGCTCCCCGTCCAGCACCGCATCTAATGGCTCCATCCACACCGAGCTCCAGCATCATGACAATGAGGGCGTTGAATACGATATGGATATCCCAGACCATGCCCCGGGGTTCCCACGATTCCCATCCTTCCCACCAAGACGAGGAGACTTGATCAATGTTGTCAGTAATGACGAACCACCGGTAGTTGGCGAAACAGAACAAGAAAGGCTGGCATACGAAGCATGCAATATTGATCGGTTTAATCGCCGACAAGTCGAAGCCGAGGCGGAAGAGGAGGCACGACGCATACGGGTCCAGCCACGCGACCTTAACAATGCCTTTGACAGGGTGGGGGACAAGCAGGTCTTTAGGACTCCAAGCGCCAACGTAGCTGTTGCTATGGCGACAATGCAACGACTACCCAATACCCCGAAAATCTAGGTAGTTCGAGATGATATACAAGCTTACCTGACGGGTGCTATGGCCTAGACCACAGAGATTGTGAATCAAGCCCGGGCTCCATCCGTCTCAGTCGAATCAAGCTACAGCCGCCAGTACTCAAGTCGCTCACAGCTAAGGATGAAAACGGTCGAACTCGGTCGAAAAACTCCTCGACCGTTTTCAACTTTTACATTTGAAATACGAAAGCGAAAGCGAAAGCGGACAAGCCGGACATGAAAACGAACACGAACTTACGGAATATCTAGAATTTTGGAAACGAACCAATTCGAGCGGAATTATGTCGAACACAGTCGATGTGCGAAAATTCAATACGAAATACCGACCCACAGTGCATAGCATTAAACAAGTGCACGATCAAATACA